CTGAAACGCTAAAGAAAAGAGGCAGTCCCACACATGTCAGAGTAAGTGGTAAACTTGCGCCTGAAAGGAGCGCTGTTACACAGCCACGCTCCCGCTTATTTATAAGGGGGATTCCGTTAACATCAGCAGTGGAAAAAACAGTTGCGCCTGTAGGCAATCTTTGCCACAAAATCAACATGTACCAACACACAGTCACCCACTCAGATATATATGATACTGTAACGTGCGGTCCACGTGGCGCCAGTAGTAGTTTATTTTTTCGTGTCGGACCCGCGCATTTCAAAATTATCAACTCATGAACGCAAAAGTCGACTCGCCTTATGTCACCATGGGCAGGGTGCAAAAGGATGCAAGTATCGCTGAAAATTAATAAAAACGTATCGTATGCGACGTTCTTGCATTGCATGCTCTCCTTTCATTAGTATCAATTATATCTATACAGCCTGTCTAATTTCGTTCTCATTTAGATAAACATTCATGGAGCAATACGCTATAGTGACGACCGTCAAACGACGCCGGTCGTCACCGGCAGCGTTCGCAGGTAATTTGCCCCATTGTATTCAACTGGCAATTGTGACTAGTTCGCTCCCGTGTCGAAAGCTACGTTTTTGTAACTAGCAAGCGACGCCAAGTGCATTGTTTGTCAAGTAAAAGAGAACGAACGTTTCCTACCAGTACGTATAGTCTACGGGGGTTAGGGTCGCTTATAGCGTTATTGATTGAAGAAGTCCGTGAGTCTTGGGATACGATCGATAGAGCACCAAATTATTGTATGGTGCTAACGTAATGATTTCGTCAATCGCATTCTAATTTCCGCTTTGCATGACTTCTATCACTAACATTCTCTGCGTTCGTAATAGTTAAACTAAGCACGGACAAAAAAGAGAGTCAAGTCTGAACTTCATTTGAATTCTCCTTTTTTTTTTCATTTCAGGTAAGTTCAGTCCCCTCGTCTATTGCCACTATTTGTAACCTTTGCCCTTCACATCCTCATAGCTATCAGGCTTCTTCATCTGGTGAGGTTTACGTACAACAGCGATGGGCTTCCTTGTTTATGCCATATGATTTAAGTATTTATGCCGCGACACCAGCAGAGGTTACAACAACAGCAGCAAGAATAACTTTAAAAGTAAAAAGCATAATTCTTTTCTCTGTCCTAGTTTATTTAGAAGATTAGTTTATTAATGTACTATGTAAATAGATACAGAAATACGTATATTAAAACACACTGATGTCAACGTACGCGGGATAAAATTCATAATCATTGATGCCGCTCACTCTGATTGCACTCGCTTTCATTAGTTTCAAGCTTTTCTTCTCGCCAAGTCGTCACCAACGCTGCCTTTCTTGTTAGCTTTTTCCTGCATCGATACCTATTCTGTTGAGTCCTGCTTGCCATTTACATTGACATTTACGGGAAACTCAGCTGCCCGATTAGTGACCCGTGGCCGTAGGTTCACCGTTTTGAGAAATCAAAATCAAAAATTGGGAAGTTTGCATTGCATAGAATATTCCCCCTCCTTTTTCCTTTCCGTTCCCTTCGTTTGGTCCGGGATTTGCTTTCACTACCTGTCGCCGTTTCTTTTCCCTTATTATTCTGCCTTTCGGTACAACGATGCGTCTCAGGTCAAAACAAGACACGGACCGGGCCTTAGCTGAATATCGGGACGCGTGCCATCGGCAGTACGACCAGAATGAGCAGCAAGCATGTGCATTTCCTAGCGTCTCCTCTCGCTGTTATCTGGCCCTAACTCGACCACATTTTCGGCTACTTCACTGATTCGAATTATACATTTTCATTCCTCTGAAATGTCTGGCTTTTGCCTCCTATATGATAGCAGCGGCAACGACGGTAACCGCGCGATGAGGGATGAAGAAACGAGGTAATTGCGGCGTCGAATTTCTATAGGAGTTTTCGTTATAATAGTTTAGCTGATTCTATTACAGACGTGTTGATGGGAGATCACACCAAAGAGTGAAAGGCGGTGGGATAGTGAGACCTATCGGCACAAGTTCTCGTTGTTGGTTGCTGTGTATTTGTAATGGAGTCTTCAATGCTTAGTACAATCCCCGACCGCTAGTCGGAGGTCGTCGCTTTTCTTTAAATGAGTCAGACATTTAGTCGCTAGCCGTCTCAGAATTTGTCTACCCCTTATGGAATCCCCCCCCCCCCCCGGTTTGATCCAAATCGGACCGACGATGACACCCCTTGAAATGGGGTTCAAAGTTCAGTCATAGTAAGCCTTTCTTGCTCTCTTTTCAGTAGATGGTATTTGTGGTATCAATGCGTAAAAACGAAACACAAAGCGTTACCTGGGATTTTACATCCGATATTTCGATGTTGATCAATCATTTAGCAATCATCTTCTACGGTCTGGCACTACATGAAAGTCATTCATATTCTAACTTGGTCTCTTGGTAAATATTGGTTAATCGTTTTACTTTAAGAACTATTAGAACCTCCTTACCAACGCAAACCCATGCTAGTATCATAATTTTGGCGTTTGTACCACAGTCAGAACTGTAAAAAGTTTGATGAGACTACTAAGGAGGTTCTACCTGTTTTTGTTATCTGTCGCTGTTTATTTAAAACCCATTTAGAGTCATTTTCCACAATCGTCATGCTAGCGAAGTACGGTACGATCATAACCTATCCACTTAGACGCGGGCCGTATAATCAGACCTATGGAAAGCTGCGGGCGAAAGCCAGTGCGTTCCTTCTCAACTCACTGCCTGTTTCTATTTATATATTATGACAACCAACCATTGATAGATGGTAAGCGACAATCACGTTCATAAATGCGAATGGCACGTTACCAAGGTAAGCAGAGTTTGGGAAGATCAAGCTCACTGCGATCGCTTCTGTGACTGTTCTATCGATCTCTCGAGAAGAACCTTTACGAGAAACCGCTTCTATGTTGTTTTGAATGGGTCGTTTCTTGTAAACTCTTCCCTTTCCATAATATTGCGCCAGTATAAAGTGCCATAGGGGCGTGACGCGTACGAAACGCTGGAACAACAATGATAAAGCGTGCTTATGAACCGCGACGAACGGTAGTACTGTTCAGTCTAGAGGGTCTTGGCGCTAACGACATCGGTAGGCAAAGCGAGCCATGTCGGGAGCGTAAGCTGCTTCTGGTCGACCAGCTGGTCGACGAGGTGCATGGTCGCTTAAAAAGTCTGAGGCGTACTACATAATCGTCTACAATGGGAGAAATAGAAAACACAGTAATATCCTTCTATACCTCGCACGTAGCCTCGAAATAAATCTCATCCTTCCTCTCGGTTAAGGATACAATTAGTAGCTGATCTTTGCGTACGCGTCTTAAAAATGTCTAGGAGAACCATCAATATTATACTTCCTTAAAATCTTCATAAACGTCCGTAAACTCGTAGCGCGCCAATTATTTGAATTTGTCATTTAACGAGCTCACCTTTTATATTACACAGCGCAATTTTTTCGTCTAATTCTTGAACACAGTATCCTTAAATGGTAGCTTGCTCTTCTACACACACGAATGAATCATATCGCACTTGAGGACGAAGAAAGTGGCCTCTTGGTGGTGTATATATATATATATACGGTTACCAGCCATTTGGTACTGCTGCAAATATTGTTGTGTTTCTCACTATGAAGTCAATATATGAAATTATTTCACAGTAGACTAGAAGGGCTTATCGCTGATCTTCGTTTAGTGTGCGTCAATCTTCTAAACGAGTGGCGCACGTGTCGGTGTTGAATGGCCGATATGCTAAGCCCAAATCAAAAGCTAAAATCAAAAGCAGGCAGAGTCTGTTAGCGGCAGCGGCAGCGGCAGCGGGGACGGTCTGATCAATTGTCATCCATGCAAAAATAAATAGCGTCGAGTTTCATCTTCTTCAGGTTAGCTTTTCGTGAGGTTTCTACTGCTGCCGTTTCGCTACGTTGTACGATCATTAGAAATATGGTGCTTCCCGCTCTAAGCATGTTAATCAGCGACGATGACCCCTAGATGATTGTAGCCGGCGGCGCAGATCTTTCATTCAATCGGATGATCTTCGAATTTCAGATCTCAGTAGCAGCATCAGGTAGTGTTTTTGGCAGCAAGGCACATGTACCCGTCGAAAGTTTCCCTTTGCAAGTTTTAGCACTGTCAGATAGCCAACAGCGATAACAAATACCTTCTCTTCGAGACTGCTTTGTTTCATAACCTCACAGAATTACCATCTAAAGTACAAACGGGTGGTGTTAGCTCTACAGCGCACTGACGATGAAAATACTTTAGAGCATCTAGTGAAAGTCTCTGAGCTATTTTCGATGTTCTGTCATTGGGTATGTCCGCCGTCGGAATTATGGGCTAGGTAGTGGGGTCTGGGTCGCAGCAATGCGGGCGCAAGCTACCATAGCTCATTCGTCGTCGTAAGAAATCCCCTAAGTAATAATGATGGCCAGGATAAATAGATGATACCTAGCGATTGATATGTGGGCCCAGCATCTATTACCTTTGTAGAAGTGGGGTGATTAGGGCCGTCACCGTAAGAGGCGATATGTACACATTCGCTACGAAGCCGTGTTTCTAATGGAGATTTACGTTGCTCTCTCGCTAGACAAAAAGGATTCTATCGTGAACAAAATAGACAGTGATAATTTCAGCCAATTTTTTTTGACGTATACGTACGTATAATAATTCTGCACAAATCCTCGGCCGAGCTTAGCAGCAGTGATGAGACCAGTTTCGAATGTGCTCATGTTTTTGAACATTTACCATCTCAAAACAATCCACACGGTGAATGCCTGTGACAGCACCCCACTTAAGAGATTTCGAATATACCGGGAATAATATATAATACTGGGAATTTGTAGTACGTGTACTAGCAATCTGATAGAATGAATGAGCATAGCGAGATATGTGTGACTTTTCACAGAGCATAGCTTGATACAAACTCGTTCACAATAATCATTAGCGCCATGCTTTGGATGACCCCATAAATCGACTTTCGGGACGTGTGTTAGCTCTTACCTCTAGGTCAATGACACCTCATTCGATGTCGAAAACCTCCCTTATGCCTTCGCTCCTGTGAACTTTCATAGCCCTGTTTCAGGTAGTTTGCCACTAATGCGCCATGTCAGGGCTGCTACGCAATATTACGGCCGCTGACGACTCGCAGCGACCTCTGTTGTTTTTAATTAAGCTGGGAGCGTTACGTCTGTCAGTCTTCCAGACATTAGTATAAGCAAATAAAATGTCGAGCCAACTGAAAAAGGCACAAATATAATACATATTAGCGTTTTTATCTTTCATCATCTGCGTTGTTCCCTGAACCTCCAATTCCTATCACTAAAATACATATACGTGATCGGGTGGTCTGAGAAATTCGAAGGTGCGTGAGTGGCTGTCAGATCTCGCAATACAAATCCTAAACGCAGACAGACAGTTGGGTTACTCCTCCTGTCTTAGCTGATCGCGTAACAACAGCCTGTTCACTAGTTGTCTGGTTCGACGATCGGTTCCTTGGTTTATTCTCCTGACGGCGTTATCCTATGCACCGTATCGTCGACAGTGGCAACAGACGCCGTACCATCCCTAAGAGCAACCATTGCAGCTACTGTCCAGAAATGTAGTTGTTGATCGGGCCGTTGGTGGCGCCCTAGTCAGCGCGACCCTCTCCTAGTCGGGTGCGCCGTTGTGTTCGTTCTGTCAAATCAGACGTTTTTCTTCGCGCGCGGACTTTGCCGAGCGGCGCGTGCAACTCTCTGCGATCCGAATATCAGTCTGTAGATAATCGCGCAGAGCAGTAGAACTTGAAAGTCGAAAGCCGATTTCCTCTTTTCTTTTTCATTAGTTTCCTCTCGAAGGAAAACTGAATGAAAAGCCTAATAACGCTTACTCACCATCAGGGGGTAGAGCCAAATCAAGCAGCAGGTACAGCCTTGTTAATCTACATTGTACTACAGATGGACAGAAAAATATTCTTATAGAGGACCATTGTGTCGCAAGTTTGCCATTTGTCTGTAAATGTAAGCGAACAGGAAAACGGATTGATGGAAAGCTAGCAGCAGCAGTACGAAGTGGTGATAGCCATGCAACTGTGGCCGGTAAATGTGTAAACGACTACGCTACAACATCCAGCCAGGGGGGGGGGGGTCTGTGTCATCTTCGGTGCCATCTTCTGAACGGACTACCTCACCCTGTGACATTCATTACTGCTGTAATTAATTAGAACCGTTATTTGCGGTACTCACGTCGATAGTTCGGATTTCTGATCAAGTGTGATGTTCGACATTGAGAAGAACGTTCGCCCTGAACGAGGATAGTCGAAGACTTTTTTTTTGTTCTTTTAACAATGTTGATCTGTGTGTCAGGATACATATCGGATTTTAGTAATGCGCCTAGTGCAACTTCGGCTTTCCCCAGCGCGAGCAGCAGTGAGGCTGACGACAGCGCTCCTTCGGAAAGGTACGTATGCAGCTATCAAACGCGACAGCCTTTATACGGGTATCGCATGGAAGAACGTGTTCGAACAGTGAGCGTGTCTATGACATGGTATATTTGCTGTTATTTTTTCCAGTACCCCCATTTCCTCCTTTTCCAGCTTAGAGTGTCGTCCGGCTGCATCGACCGTACTGTAATAGGCATTCAGTGAAGATTCATTACTTGAGCTGTCTTCAGTTCAGCATGTGCTTTTACTAATTAACGTGCAGCAACAGCAGTAGCAACGATGAACGGCACATAATAGATCGTTGTATCATTAGTTTGTTTCAAGATGCACGTGTGACGAATCAAACAGGATTCAAGCTCCGTTTCACTACACCCCGTTAGTTTTTTGGCAAGGCGTTGTAAGAAGTTAATGAGGCAACATTGCGCTTGCTGGAAATTGTTCAGTACAGGACTGATGAATCTGAGATAGATCTTCTCTATACAGAAAGCTGGACGCTCCCAGTTTTTGCCTAGGAAGATTAAAATAGAAAGAGAGACAAGTATTTTGTACACAGAGCTTGCCTCTATCATACATTGAGAAGCGACCCTTGGCCAAGAGTCTACTTTCGGTTGTGCTATCTCCCCAAATCATCTGACACAATCGTCCACTATAGTTAGGAATCCCAGACCTGATCTTTTTGTCGTGTGAAGCAAATTTCGAAAACTCCCGCCGTGACTAGTGTTTTTACGGACTAAAGCAGCTTTGCAGCATTACGAAAGGTACCTACTGTTTGACTTAATTCAAAGCTTGGACCAGACGAGCATCTAGCTCAGAGAAACTTCGACCCGTGTGAATATCGCAGTTAAACTTGCTTTTACAGTTTGGGCCGACGATTCCTAGTTGGTAAAACACAGTTACGATTGAAGTAAATTAGTAGGAAAATGAGGCATACATATCGGCATTTTAAACTTTATTTAAAACAACGATACCAAAAAAGTAACCCCTGATCAGATGGCTAGCTAACTTTTCATTGTTGCTCATAATAGCTTCTTGCGCTCACGATGATGATGATACAGTGGATGTATTTGTTAAGAATGACGCATTTTAGATCGAAAATCTGAATTAGACCCACCTCAGTTCCTATCGGACGCTAGTCGGACGCAACGCTCTACTGTAAAGACATTTATTTATCATTCATAAGGGTTTCTTGTGAGATATTTTACAGCACATTAGCATAGCCTTAGGAAAATTAACCCACTGACATTTTAATCAGTAGAAGCGTCAGAGTTGTTGCTGTGTTCCGCTGGAACGTCGGCTATTGTTGCTGCGTTACAGCTTCTCGACCTATTGACGAGAACAATAACCGGAGCTTGACGTTAACTAACTGGATTAACTGAATAGCTAAGTTTCAAATAGTGATTATATGGGCTTAGCATTGACACCGGTTGGAAAGAAAACGGACGTGTTTGCATAGTGATGATGCTACCGACGAAGAACTGGATCCGCCTTACCCTACATTTTAGTCGTTCTATGAAAGATAGATATCGCTGTTATAAGAGCAACAGTGACAGCAGGCAGTAAACATAAACACCGCAAAGCATCTTGCATAGGTAGCAATTCATAGGGCGGCAGTGAAACAAAGAATACGGCAAGAAACTACCTACTAGTGTCCGATATAGAGCCACCTGCCGGTTTTTTTTTTAATAGGTCGATTGCTGGAAGACGGCAAGTTAGATGGGGAAAGATAGATTATTGCCACCGCTCAGCCCTGTTCCTAGCCACTGGCTAATTCGCTTCCTCGTAGTGTATGTCAACACTTTGGTGACGTAGCGATACTGTTTGTGCGGCGGCCAAAAGCTGCTCAGGTGACACCTGCTTCTTAGATGAAACAACCATTCTGAGCCCGGGAATAATGACGAACCGCTGAGAATTTCCCACGGTTTTGGTGACGTTCCGTCCCGCGAGCTGACCAGCCAGCACTGGGCCGCATTGCACCGCTCATCCCAACATTCGGCCATCTCAAACTGACACCAGCAGCAACAGCGTCCCAAACTACAGTTGCAGTGGTATCTCCCCAAGGGACAAAAGAACGATGTCGTGTCACCGAGACGACGTCACCTATCGTTGAGACCTGCTACCAGCGTTCAACGCCGCTCTACAGACGCGAAAGCAATGATGCGTATTAGCGATTGCACGGCGTCACACGGATCCTGACGCCCGGTAAGATGGACGAGAGGAGCAAGGGAGTATCTGGCGGCTCGGACTCGAGATACCCTGCTGACGTTAGCGGACCAGGTATGGAACAGGGTGCAGAGGGGAAATCGGTCCGAGCTATGGAAAGATGAAACCACTGTTACTACTTCTACATCTGGCTAATACAGACGACGAAATATAACTGGACTTCTTATGAAGTTGGCATCAGTTGTACACGTTTCCTGCGGGTTGTTGCTGACTAATGGACATCATGCAGCTGGAGGAACGGCGGAACCTCCTGCCTGTGGAGCGACTGGTTTCCCCTGGAGCCCAGCTCTTGTAATAGTTTTGGCAACATCATGTTGATGCGTAGCTACAGCTAAAAAGTGCGCCACTCGTAGAGAATGAAAAAAAATTCTCAAGGAGTTGAAGGTGCTGGCGTGTGTGACAATAAAAACGGAAAGCTGGATGAGCAATTAACGGACCACGTGTCGCCGCTTCACCCTATTCATAACAGTCTCCACAGATGGTCGCTGTTATCTACACCTCTACCCTCACACGCTTATATTCTCGTCTTCAGATTGTTACACTATAATCATAGGGTAAGTCCACTTGCATGTAATGTTATGCTAATTCTATTGTTTTTGAACGCATGCTTCTGTACGAGTTAGTGACGAGTTCGTTGGTACGCGCAGCGGTTGCAAGAACAACTGTTTGCCTTTTTGAGCCGCAACGCAAGTTCTAACTGGCCGCCATAAGGTAATGTTTATACTATGGAGCAAGCTCGCAGACGGAACGACATAACGCAATGCTGCTACTGCTTTTTTGGCTACCTCGTCTGTAACAGTTACATAGATTCCTTAGCTCCACCTGCAGGATATTGTATTATCACCTCTTTTCGATACTTTTGATTTAGAATTTTGTTTCCGAATTAGGACACAGGAAAATGCAGAGTTAACCGGCTATATCTTTTAAATGAATGACCAGCCAAAGTACCTCATATTGCACCGTTACATAAAACACATACGTACATGTGTATATGCGTATACAGATGTACAGATTGATGCGTGCATATATGTCGTTTGCAATGCGGTGGTCACGCTCAGACTACGTCGTGGGTCGTGTACACAACCTCGATATTACGACTATCAGGACGAAGAAAGATGTATTCTGATTCCAGCCTGATTTCCAGTCGAGAGTAGCATGGCAGGCGCCTCCGTCAATGGCCGCATAACGTCGCCTGTGGAAGTAAAGAAAATACAATATGACAGGGAACGAAATGGAATATTTTTTTAAGCCTTCGTAATAAGAACTTGGATCGGTTAGTCATCTAGTACTTAATACTAATACCAAGTCTATTTATGTTGTCACTTGTATTCGCAGTACCAGGTTAGGTCTGGCACTAAATCGAACTACGTGAAAATTGGGTCCTCCACCGATATGCCTGTTCTGTTCGTTGTGTTCATACGCGTTTTCTTTTGTATTAGAGCGTTCTGCGACTGCCGTGTTATTTTTTATTTTATAGTTTTTCAGTAGTTTCGAGCTGGCAGTTGGGCTAAAATGAGTGACGGCAGGTATAACTAGAAGACCCATTGACAAACGTATGCAAAAAGCCAGTCTATCAGCTATGCCCATTCACGGAGTTGACTGTACAAGTATAGATGCTATACCGTTGGCTATTCTCAAACGTTTGGTAAACCCCTCACACTTTTTATATATACAACGTGGTCACCATGAGTAGGGAGCTTTACTTGCGGTTAAGGCCTTTCGCCCGTGAGGACACTGCTGAGTACTCTCAAATGATAATATCAAGCGTTCGATGGTTCCGCCCTAAACAAGAGCTGGAGGAAACAAGATGATCACAGTCGTGCGGGAAAATTGCACGCTGGAAATATGTTGGTCTTCTTGGCGGCTGGAACCATACTCAAACAAATACACATATACAAATGTATATATATATATATATATGCGTATGGTGCGTAGAAACACGTATATAATAACGATATGACCATCCGAACGTCTCGGAGACATGAGTTTACGTGATCGATTCTTGTCTGATATTTTTAAATGAGAGATCTCCATTTCAAACATTTTGGACCGTCATAAATTATTATTTAGTCTCGATAAAAGGTAGCCAGCGCTAAAACGAAATGTAGATAGCAACGAATATTCTAGCAATGGGATAAACTCGTGGTAGGGCCATGTTCGAAGAGCTAACTGACTTCGTGATAGGAACATTTGGTTGGTTGGCCCCATTTAGAGGAGGGAATCAACGAACACATAACATGTATGTAACATCGAAAATGGAATGGTGCTTTTACCGCTCAAAAAGGACTTAACCAGAAATCTACCCTAATTATGACCGAAGCCCGATGATTCTTAAAGCTGTCACCAGCAGTAAAAAATATAAGGGAAAAATTCACAGGGGAGAAAGCCATGGAGAGGCCAAGGTACCATCACTATTGTTAGCAACACTATGTCAGCTAGCTAAGCATTGTGCTTCGTTGCGTTAGCCCAAGTCGGTCCTCGGATGATGACAAGCCCGGGAAGTCGCCCGAAGACGTCGTTGGCCGCTAACCATAGTGAGTAGAAACGGATTGAGAAACATATGTCCGTCAAATGGGACGAAGAGCGGATAGAGTTCTACAGCATCAAGAATTACTATTTCCAACAAGGCGATGCTATCCATCTAGATACGTTTGGATTGCTTTAAGTAAAAACACTATTTTGCTTACAAACCATAGGTTTATAGCCATTTGATGAGGCTTGACTACATAGCATTTGGCTATTTCGCTCTAGCTTCACTCAGTAGAACACACGCGAGGGTTTCTATTCATATTCTATTGCAAAAATGCGCATAGAATTTTTTTCCAACCCCCCATATGTGCGATCTATTATTGTAGAAACGTGGCCGCACACGTAGTTTGAATTCGTTACCTGTGTGCCCCAAACGGTGCTGCTAGCCCATGAACCATAATTTCCTCATTCTATCGCAACTGATCTAATGCTAACCTGGAAAGCGCTGGGTCCTGCTTCGTTGGCATATTAATTGATTAAGCGCATATAAGCTGTTCAGTATGAAGAAGTGGCAAACTTTGCCAGTTGCCGCTGTTAACGTGGCTAGAATGGTAAAAATTGCAGCTGGGACTTAGGACATGGCTATGTATAACGGCGTGGGCACGGACAAAATATTTATTAGCTGCACGCTAGCAGCGGCAGCCCACGCTGGACGAAAGTTTCGTAGGCGACTCTGGCCGATGACCGTTCTATGCTGCAGCCACAATGACAAGCAGGCCATCAGCGGTGACAATCCGCGTTACAGCAATAGTGATCTACATAGCCCTAGTTACAATACGGTGCGGTGCCTCTACTTCATTATTTATGTACATCAAGCAGCGAGTTATAGTTGGGCATTATTACCGTGGTTTACTTGTTTCCCCTCCCGCGACCGGTTGCATAGGAAAAGCTTCACGGACCCAATTCTGTGTGTGTGCAGTAATATCTGTCTGTTATTCCTATAGAAGTTAGTCCATGATCTCCAACGCATCACTTATAAGAACACGCGAGCGATAGGTTTAGGCGGTAGATACTTCCATGCCGGGGATGTAGATTACTTGCGGGACGCTCAAGGAGTTCACTGGTAACGTCGTCTTGTCATATCAGGGCAAATGTTCTACCTGATACCTCTCAAAATACAGCCGTAGTTCTATGTCGTCGTGATATGAGGCTGCTGTAATGAGACATGCAATCACCTCTTACATTTACTGACATATAGGTTTGTTAAGCTCTCTGCGGTATTTGTCTAGCGGTATGGGCTTTTGTGTTACTCGCGCAATATAATAAATGCTCTCTAAATAATAATGTTGCCCTCGACCGGCATACCCTGCCACCGTTTATAATGAACTTACGTTTACGCAGTAATCCATTACAAAGTCGCCTTCCTTCCCGAAGGTGCAATGGAAACCTCAGGCAGAACTGACCTAAGGACAAGTATGCGACAGTGATAACCCTTGCCAATATCTCTTACTACACAATCTAGGAATCGGCTCTTTAAACTAAACGCTAATTCACACTAAAATCAAATTACTTCTTTTGGGCTTAATATAGAACGACCGATAAAAGTCAGATCTGTGTTTGACTAGAGATACAAGCTCTCTTGAAACACTAAGCTATACGTATAGTCAGCTCCTTTATATTCTTATATCTGATTCCTCGATTCTTCAGAAGTTCTTGCTTCCGCAAGGGACGCGCTGGCAACTCGCAGTTTGCCGTGAATCATACGATGAGGGGGCGAATCCGTGCGACTCTGCGAGTCCAAATATATCTGCATTGGGCTGGTATTTGGTTTTGCATCGGATAAAATGATGTATTCGTCTGCATCTGCATGCTCCCTAGTCACGCGTGGTATTCATCATCGACTCTCAGTCAATATCCTTCATTGAGACGTTGAATACCTTGCCTCAGCACTACAGTGCGTCTTTCCTCTACGAGATGCGACGTCATTACTACTGCTGCCGTTGCCGCCGTACCGCCTGGAGCGGCTTCGCGCAGCTCGGTCCAACGCTTAAGTAACACAGGTGTTATATCTACCCGTAAAGGTTGCATCCCAGTTCCAAACAAAAAGCACAAAAAACCCGAAACCCTTGTTTTCCCATGCTTTGACAGTTGCATTCAGCACTGCTCCGATAGCGTCTTTTTTCACACTCCACATCTGCGTGCGCATGGAACAGCAACGAAGGAAGCATGGAACGACAATACCTTGTTTTTTGGCTAAGAGGCTAAAGATAGTACTGGCTGATTGTCCCGGCTAAGCTTAATACTGCTAATAAAACACGATGATGGACAAACTACCTTCTTTATCATTATCTTCTAGGACCGTCCACTACAGATACCAGTGGCCAAAGTGGTAATGGTAGCAGAGAGTATTGTCACAACCTCAACACAGAAGGTTGATTACCACCCCCCGGACATGTTCTGACCGTACTGGACCTGAGGAGACAGTTAGATGAATGGAAGAGGCTGCTTTATGGTCGGGTTGAACATTGACAATGGACGATATTCCTGTCACACAAGAAATTTCTAGGGATATAATAAGCGCCACGAGTAGGAGGCGGACAATGCATTCCATTGCGCGAATGCCCGTTTCGGCCCATTTGCCCCGTACTAATTCCTAGCATTGTTGTGATGATGATCAGGTCTCTCGGCGTATTAGGTGGGGTGGTGGTAAGATAAAGTGGCTGGATTGAATGGAAGCTGTGAACAAAGGTTTTTCGTTTGCCTTTTTTGCTCTTCTGCTATCATAATGACCCAGCTTCTGCTGCGCAGAGAATCTGAGGCCTGTTAATAACGATGGCCGTTGGGACTTAAAAGGAAGTACAGGCAGCTCAACGGGGAAAAAACTAGTCTCGAGTTACCTATTTATGTATTTGCGTGCAAAACTGCCCAGCTCCTAGGGTGTCTTATATGCCTCTTCTGGGAGCAGTAGTGTAAGATGTCGACATTGCTTACACGATGTTCTTTTACTGAGAACGTCCTCACTTCTCGTCGTCTTCCCCTCTCAGACACTCACTTCCTTCGGCTTCTTCGATGTAAGGAATACTCTTTCTTATATATTACTTCACTGGTCGACAGTGTGTGAGTCTACTTTGCGTTCAAATACGATCACGCATGGACGCAGCAGCCTTCAATGAGCTTCAACTATTTAGGTTGCAAATACATGGCTGGTGGTAACTATGGCGGAGAAAATAGTGGAAGAGACTACGTCGGAGCTTTCCTCCGCACCGTGTGTCATCGGAGCTGTCTCGTGCTAAGCTCGCGTTGCTATGGCTGCTGGCCTTGCCCTGCATACTCAACGTCACTCTAAGCGTTGACGGCAATGGGCGCAACGGGTCTGGCAGTCACTTGCCATGTCATTGGAAATGCCAGGCAGGCAGGCAGGCAGGCAGACTTCCCGGGCTTAGGGCATCCTCATAGCCCGTCTTTTTTTGAGTGAGTACATTTGATGTAAGTCGCTTCTGCTTCTCGCCGTTGCTTATGTGGCAGCAGGCTCCTGTTGCTAAAGAAAGCAGTATGACCAAGGAGACGCTGAAAAGACGACAGCCAGCAACGAACCGACGGGCGAACACTCTGCAATAATGCCACCAAGGCTGCAGGCTACTGCTGTTCCCATTGCCGTTATTTCTGTTGTTGCTTACTCGAATTGTTCCAGGTCCGTCTTTATCCAAAATAGATGTCGTAAAATTGCCTGAGGGAAATACTCAGTTCGCACTTGCTATAGTACAAGCTTCACTCGTTCACCGTTGTCATTACATTGCGTTCAAACGGTTCGGCAAAGTTTTAGCAGTATGTTAGACGCATTTATTTGCCACAGTGTGACCATCACGTCTCTTCTCATCAACGACGACATTTACTGGGCGCTTCGCTATCGAAACGCTACTAATCTTACGTCATGCCGTCTCTACTCAGTATATTCGAACGGGTAATACGAAACAACAAAACCTTATATTCGTTGTCGCAAACGCATTGCGCACAGTGTGTGATCGAACGTTTACTATTCCTCACAAGCAGGAGGTCCTTACGCTGTCCTAGCGCGTTGGACGGTTAGAATCAGGTACTAATTTATACCCGTTCATTTGTCCAAGCCTGTTTGGCTTTTTCATCATCGCTGTTCTCTAAGTTTTTAGAGCAGCCAGTCGTTGTCATGGCATGCATAAAACACCAGGCCAAACGCAAACGTTATTAGACTAATGATTTTAAACAAATCTCATTGGCAATCTAATTCTGCTGCTAGAGGGTCATATAAGTTTAGATCGACTGGTTAGCAACACAAGATGGCGTGGTACTTTGTTTAAAGAAAAAGAAAAGTTCTATAGCTGCACGAGCAACTACCGTTGATGTCGAAAGTAATGTTGTCTATGATGATGGTGATGCTGATGGCGCTGCTGGCGGTGGCCACGTTGAGGACCCAATGTAGGCTAGTCTGCATACACCTGACGCTACGATTTCCCTCCACAATTGCCCCGAAATAACCCTGCTACACTCAATGCACTTAGGCTGTAGGGAATAGGTTTGTCTTTACAACTTCGGGGCGGATCGGGGTAGTGCTGAGCGGAGCATACAGCAGACCGGTTTGTTGGTTTGCGAGCAATGCCTGCTTTCAGAGCCACGCAAACGACGTTGTAATACGCACTGTTCAGTGTGTTTCTGTGAGGCTTGGTAGCACGACGTTCCTGGATTTGTTTCGCTGCTTGGCGGCAAAACGCGTTCTCAGATCTTCCCTTTCTTCGATCAGGGGGAGATATCAGATGTCTCTTTCTCTTCTCACCAGTTTTATTCTCTACCCAGCTGGCCGTTTAGGCTCCTTTTTTGTTGTCCGGTTTCGCTGGGCAGAAACCCACTCAACGGTCGCTGCAATGAACTTCCTGTTTCCCGTCTTCCATTCGGATTTTCCCACTTGAAAACAAACGAGCTACCAGTACAGGGTTCTGGCGCTTCCCGAGCTTTTAGAACGAGAGTCGGGTTGTGTCACCGGCCTAGTAGCAAGCTTTGACCTTACAGGGCTTGACTTGTATTGTTAAAGGGCAGTTCTTTTGCGAGAAGAGTACAGGCCGCACTGCGTTTGGCCGCTTTCTAGCTGCATAGGCGCCGTTGAACTCAAAGAAGGATCACAGCACCCTTCCTCGGTTACAGTCGTTTCTAGGAGACAGTTTATCTACTATTTAAAATATTGCGTAATATGGCGGCAGTACAATATGCGTAGTGCTCTTATTTGCGCTTAGAGTGTGATATACAGTATAAAAGGCTTTAGATGTTACTAGATAGACCGACAGATGTGTGATAATACTTCTTCGTATCACTTATATATACACATCACTATATGGCAATGTACATACTTTCTACTCAGTTGCGTCTCTGGTTAGAGCAGCAAGCGAAGATGATTTTTCATAAAATAGCTGATGAATAATGTTGGTAGCTCTGATCGCCAAAAAGGGCGTCTTTACGCAGTTAGTTTCGAGAACGCTTTGTAGCCTAAGTCAGCGAAGCTTTGACTGCTCTTTGATCGAATCACTGATCACCTTGGTCGGCAGACCACATCATCTGACAAAACATAATCGAAGCACATTAGATGCCATCATCGAACACATAGGTGACCAGACAACAAACTGACAACTTCAAGCGTACATTGCAATCAGATCTATGTACGAGTACGGTCTGCATAGTACGCGTTGGTATCTGAACATGCGTGAGAGTCTGACGAGCAGCTCGTGTCTTTGTGCTCTTCTAAATGGCATGGCCCATGGTTGCACGGGTAGGCTTGCTCCAAGCAACGCAGTGCACTGTCGCACTCAGAACAGAGAGAAAAAACCCGAACCACATTTCCATTAGCTTATTTCTTTCATGTCCTATTGTATCCTCCAAGGGAAGCAGAGATCTCACATGGCTAAAAGAGAGGACATGAAAGTCAGCATGCTTAGATATCGACATGATAATCAACAATACTAGCAACTCGTAAAAGACACGTAACACTGTCCGAGTCTGAAAGGTCGAAAGACGCTTCGGGGTGTCACAAGCGAAAAAGGAGCGCAGGGTAGAAAACCTTGTCTGGCTTCCAAAGACACCTACCGTTAGTGGTGGCAGTAACCTTCCTCAATCTTCTTTGTCACTGCAGTAATTCAGGCCATGTCCAATCATTTCACCTCCTTTAAAGATAATCCTATAAAGATTCCTTACTTTTGGCCTGTCTTGTCTCGGAGAAGCTCTACTGCTGTCACGGTCATCGTCGACGCAAAAACCACCGCAGTGAAGGCTCAAAGCCGCGTGACTCGTATACAGAAGCTATGCTCCACTTCGCTTCAAGCAGAAGAAAATGGATTTGATAGTCGCAATGGCGGCACCTTTTCCAGCCACGGCGCGGGCAGGTGACGGGTGGTTGGCGTTTGCGTAAAGATCTATGGCGTCTGCTCACGACGCGTCAGCGATG